GATAAAAGTCTGAATTATGAGATATAAAGTTAGAATTACAAGATAAAAGTCTGAATTATAAGCTAACAGTGTAAATTCCGAGATATAAACTCAGAATTACAAGATAAAAGTCTGAATTACGAGATATAAAGTTAGAATTACAAGATAAAAGTCTGAATTATGAGATATAAAGTTAGAATTACAAGATAAAAGTCTAAATTATGAGATATAAAGTTAGAATTACAAGATAAAAGTCTGAATTATAAGCTAAAAGTGTAAATTCCGAGATATAAACTCAGAATTACAAGATAAAAGTCTGAATTATGAGATATAAAGTTAGAATTACAAGATAAAAGTCTGAATTATGAGATATAAAGTTAGAATTACAAGATAAAAGTCTGAATTATAAGCTAACAGTGTAAATACCGAGATATAAACTCAGAATTACAAGATAAAAGTCTGAATTATGAGATATAAAGTTAGAATTACAAGATATAAGTCTGAATTATGAGATATAAAGTTAGAATTACAAGATAAAAGTCTGAATTATAAGCTAACAGTGTAAATACCGAGATATAAACTCAGAATTACAAGATAAAAGTCTGAATTATGAGATATAAAGTTAGAATTACAAGATATAAGTCTGAATTATGAGATATAAAGTTAGAATTACAAGATAAAAGTCTGAATTATGAGATATAAAGTTAGAATTACAAGATAAAAGTCTGAATTATGAGCTAAAAGTCTGCCTTATGAGATATACACTCAGAATTACAAGATAAAAATCTGAATTATGTCATATAAACTCAAAATTGCAAGATAAAAGTCTGAATTATGTGTTAAAAATCTGCATTACGAGATATACACTCAGAATTACAAGATATAAGTCTAAATTTTGAGATATAAACTCAGTATTACAAGATAAAAGCCTGAATTGAGCTAAAGGTCTGCATTATGAGATGTGAACTCAGAATTACAAGATAATAGTATGAATTATGAGACGCAAATTTAATCTTACAAGATAAAAAAACTACATTGCAATTACAAACAAACCCTGAAATACAAAATAAATAGTCTGAATGTGAGAAAAAATTAGAATAAATATGAGCTAGTTTTACAGCAGCTAGCACAACATAAAACTAACATATTTTACTATATTAAAACACACAATTTCAATACTCTTGACGAGCATTAAGAATATGAACTGTATAGAGCAGAAGTGGCGCCAGCTAATACATTTTAATGTAAAACTGCTGAGAGCGGGAATCGGGGAATAAACTACATCTCTTTCTCTTATCTCAGTGCTTTGATCTGTTAGGACAGAAATTGAATCTCAATCCCTTTTTCTGATCTTCACATCTATTTTTATGAAAGGGCAAATAACGCTGTCCGTTTCTAAATGGCCCTCAGATTTATTGGCTGTTCAGTTGTGTTTTATTTCTCCTCTCTCTCTCTGTCATGTTCGTGATGTTTTTCTCCGGAGCGACACACACACACACACACACACACACACACACAAGGGCAAACGCAGATAATGGAGGACGACAGGCTCGCTTTCATTCCTCCGTCTGAAACACGGCAGGCGTTTAATCACCAGCAGAAACTGTAGAAAACATACTGCGCTTCATTTAAACCATACAAAGACATCAGTGCCGTCACTCATAATTACCAGTTTCATGGTAAACCTTGGTAAATGTTTTGATGGTTAATATTACCATTTCAATATTTAACCACACGTATACGACTTATCATAGGTTTATCTCCAGATCCATATTGTAAGTTCTGTGAACCACAGCGTCCAGATACCATTTCACATATGATGTAGGAATGTCTGGAGGTGCAAAAACTTTGGGATTCAGTGCTGGACATTTTATTTAAAGTTACAAAAATTTGTTTCCCCCAAAGATCCTGTATTGTTACTATTGAATTATAACTCTCAATTTCCCTTAAATGCAAAGGTCCGTAAATTTTGGTAAGCTGCTTCAACTGCTACAAAGAAAATGTTATGTTATGTTATGTTATGTTATGTTATGTTATGTTATGTTATGTTATGTTATGTTATGTTATGTTATGTTATGTTATGTTATGTTATGTAATGGTACAGAGGTGGAAACCTCCTCACGATCTCTCAGTGAAGCACTGGTTACATTCATTATTGGAAATACTGTATCTGGAACTGTCATCAGCACGGCTCAACCATGCCAAAGTGGACATTCTTACGGTATAGAAAATCTATATATGCAACGTCAAAGACATCTTGGACACTTAACCCTCATCTGATGCTACGGGTGTCAACTTCATGTAAATTATCTAACAGTTTGGTCTAAACTATAGTTATTCTGTGTTTCCTGATGTGCGTATAATGGGGTGGGGGGGTGGGAAATATATATGGGGTAATATCTGTTAAAAGTATTTTTCTATCTCATTGTAAAAAATTTATATTTTCATTTTTAGAAAAAAAAACTGAATTACCAAAAAAAATAAATATATAAATAAAATTACCATTTTAAATTGTCATCATCATTAAAACTGTGATTGTTAATTAAGATATTAATAACTGCCTATATACATGTATATTTATTTATATAATTTATTTATATATGATATCTATCTATCTATCTATCTATCTATCTATCTATCTATCTATCTATCCATCCATCCATCCATCCATCCATCCATCTATCTATCTATCTATCTATCTATCTATCTATCTATCTATCTATCCATCCATCCATCCATCCATCCATACATCCCTCTCTCTCTCTCTCTCTCTCTCTCTCTCTCTCTCTCTATATATATATATATATATATATATATATATATATATATATATATACAGTTGAAGTCAGAATTATTAGCCCTCCTTTAATTTTGTTTTCTTTTTAAAATATTTCCCAAATGATGTTTGACAGAGCAAGGAAATGTTCACAGTATGTCTGATAATATTTTTTCTTCTGGAGAAAGTCTTATTTGTTTTATTTCAGCTAGAAAAAAGCAGTTTTAATTTTTTAACACCATTTTAAGGTCAATATTATTAGCCCCTTTAAGCTATATTTTCTTTATAAACCAACATTACACAATAACTTGCCTAATTACCCTAACCTGCCTAGTTACCTAATTACCCTAGTGCAGCCTTTAAATGTCACTTTAAGCTGTATAGAAGAGTCTTGAAGAATATCTAGTCTAATATTATTTACTGTCATCATGACAAAGAGAAAATAAATCAGTTATTAGAGATGGGTTATTAACACTATTATGATTAGAAATGTGTTAAAGAAATCTGCTCTCCGTTACACAGAAATTAGGAAAAAAATAAACAGGGGTGAATAATTCAGAAGAGCTAATAATTCTGACTTCAACTATGTGTAAAGGTATATTTCTTTTGTATATTTTTTATTTTATGTAAAGAATGTGTGTTTATTTATGAATATATACAAAAATAAAAATAAAACAGTCACACTTACAAGATTAAAGTACGAAATGTGAGATATACTCACTATATACAGTATACTCTATTTTATTATTTTTATATTCAGTATACTCACTTTATTAGGTACACCTTTCCAACTGCTCGTTAATGCAAATCTCTAATCAGCCAATCACATGGCAGCAGCTCAATGCATTTCGGCACATGGTCAAGAGGATCTGCTGCAGGTCAAAGTGAGCATCAGAATGGGGAAGAAAGGGGATTTAAGTGTCTTTGAACGTGGCATGGTTGTTGCTGCCAGACGGGCTGCTCTGAGTATTTCAGAAACTGCTGATCTACTGGGATTTTCACGCACAACCATCTCTAGGGTTTACAGAGAATGCTCCGAAAAAGAGGAAATATCCAGTGAGCGGCAGTTCTGTGGGCGCAAATGTCTTGTTGATGAGGCCAGAGGTCAGAGGAGAATGGCCAGACTGGTTCCAGCTGATAGAAAGGCAACAGTAACTCAAATAAGCACTCGTTACAACCGAGCTCTGCAGAAGAGCATCTCTGAACACACAACACGTCCAACCTTGAGGCGGATGGGCTACAGCAGCAGAAGAGCACACCGGGTGCCGCTCCTGTCAGCTAAGAACAGGAAACTGAGGCTACAATTCACACAGACTCACCAAAACTGGACAATAGAAGATTGGAGAAACGTTGCTGCTCTGATGAGTCTCCATTTCTGCTCACACATTCAGATGCTCGACTCACAATTTGGCCTCAACAACATGAAAGCATGGATCATCCTGCCTTGTATCAGCGGTTCAGGCTGGTGGTGGTGGTGTAATGGTGTGGGGGAGATTTTCTTTGGGTCCATTAGTACCAATTGAGCATCAACGCCACAGCCTACCTGAGTATTGCTGCTGACCATGTCCATCCCTTTATGAGCACAGTGTCTCCATCTTCTGATGGCTACTTCCAGCAGGATAACGCAGCATGTCATAAAGCTCAATCATCTCAGACTGGTTACTTGAACATGACGATGAGTTCACTGTACTCAAATGGCCTCCACAGTCACCAGAGCTCAATCCAGTAGAGCAGCTTTGGGATGTGGTGGAACGGGAGATTGGCATCATGGATGTGCAGCCGACAAATCTGCAGCAACTGTGTGATGCTATCATGACAACATGGAGCAAAATCTCTGAGGAATATTTCCAGTAGCTTGTTGAATCTCTGCCACGAAGGATTAAGGCAGATCTGAACACAAAAGAGGGCCCAACATGGTACTAGTAAGGTGTACCTAATAAAATGGCCGGTGAATGCATGTACATTTCCTATGTATATTTTGTATTTTATGTACACTAGGTGTGTGTAAGTACACATGGCACACACATATATTATGTTATCACAAACTTTTATCTTAAAATAAAGATAAATGTCTGAACTGCGAGATTGAAACTCAGAAGAACGACAAGAGACAAAATAGAATTACAAAATAAAAGTCTGAATTGAGAGTAACTGGACACTGTAACCTGAAAACTAAAAGAGAAACTTGCAGTTTTCAGAAAAAAAGTCATTATTATCAGATAAAACAGCAGAAACACACGTCTGTCCTCTGCTTTCATTTGCAGTTTGTTTTTCTCCTGTTTTCCTCTCGTCAGGAGAAGCTTTTAAAGCGTCTGATGTTCAATTGCTTCTCTAATCAACAGAATCAAAGCTCTCTCTCTCTCTTTCTCTCTGTGTGTGTGTGTATGTGTGTGTATGTGTGTGTGTTCAGATGATGATGATGATGATGATGGTGGTGTATGATGAAAGCTTTTGGACCCTTATGACCTCAAATAAACCTGCGCAGATGAAGGCGGCTTGGCTTCTGACTCCAGAGAGACGAACATGAGGATGAGTGTGTGCGTGTGTGTGTGTGTGTCTTTGTGTCTATGAGTGTATGTTTCTCTCTGTGAGTGTCCATGTGTGTATGCATGTGTGTGCATTTGTGTGTTTCTCTCTCTCTCTCTCTCTCCGACTCTCTCTGTGTGAGTGTGTGTCTTACGTGTTTCTCCAGGACGGTGAGGTTTTGTTCATCTTGTTCTGTCAGTGCTTTACAGCTCAACTGCAGAGAGAAAAACAGACAACGAGAGTCAATAAATCACACAATGCATCATTTCCTCCGGCAGAGAACCTGCGCTACTTTTGGTGCGCGCACACACACAAACATACACAAAATGTATTTTGAAGGGCAGCTATTTTACCCCTTCTTTAAGGTTTAATATGAGTATTCTGGTTGTTCTGAGTGTGCCAGTTTAGGTTCAGTTCAACACACAGTTCAGATTTGTTTATTATAATGTGTTAAAGAGTGTGATGTTGGGGGTGTGTACACAGTTTGCTGTTTAAGGGGCGTGTTGCTTCACATGAAAATTAGTTTCGACTTCCCGCCCAACATAACAAGCGGGCGGAGCCAAGAGCTCCCCCACTTTGTGTATGGCAACAGACAGGCAGACAGAGAGAAGCTACATGAGTGAGAGGACCAGCATTCAGCCGTACATGTATGACTCGGACACAGACCAAGCAGAGAGTACACAATCATTTGTGTCTTTGTGTTGTTTTGCAGCCAACTGTGTGGTAGTTTCAAGTGCTGAGCTTGTACACCGAGACTAATAACCACACACACTGAATTAACTTTGACTGAGGCTATACTAAACGGCGTCACACACCAGATGCGTCGCACACTAGACGCGCACATGCGCATGTTATTTAAAATGGAACTATTTAGGTGGCGCTCTGTGGCGCGGCAGAAATATGAACAGTGTCCTGAGGTGTGGCTGGACGCTGCCGACTTGTGGCTACGGTGTGTGTACTGGTTTATGACTGATGTCCAGAGGCGCAAAAAGGGGGTATGCAACGCATAGGGGTGCAACACATGGGGGCGCCATTGTGCTAAAACTATTATTAAAATTATCCTTATTAAAAGTTTCAAATAATAAAAATAAATACATATTTTTTTTGTTTAAAATGTTTATTTTGCATTTTATATTAGTATAATATTGTAATTTGCCAAATAAAACATTATACCACCACTCACATCGACCATTTGATTGATGCGTTGCAGCTGGATATTATTGCATTGCTTGGTTGGTCACATGTTCAAAATGGAGAGAAGAATGAAGAGACGTGGAGCGCAAAATAGAAAGCGAAATAAAGAACAAACAACGCCTTAAAATGGAAACTGCAATGATAAATTGGGTAATAAGAGATTGGCAAGCTTAACCCACACTATTATTGATATAATCAACTTCTAATGTTTTTAAGCCATATCATTCATTCTTTCATTCATTTTCTTGTCGGCTTAGTCTCTTTCTTAATCCGGGGTCGCCACAGCGGAATGAACCGCCAACTTATCCAGCACGTTTTTGCACAGCGGATGCCCTTCCAGCCGCAACCCATCTCTGGGAAACATCCACACACACACACACACACACACACTACAATGGTTAATTAGCCTACCCAATTCACCTGTACCGCATGTCTTTGGACTGTTGGGGAAATTGGAGCACCCGGAGGAAACCCACGCGAACGCAGGGAGAACATGCAAACTCCACACAGAAACGCCAACTGAGCCAAGGTTCGCACGAACCAGCGACCCAATGACCTTCTTGCTGTGAGGCGACAGCACCTACTAAGCCATATCTTTAATTATTAATTATTCATTATCGCCACAGAGTCAGTCACTGGGCTTTTACAGACGAGGAGGTTTTGTCCAGACAGGTGTACAGTGACACACGGCTGAAATCACATACTTCTATTATTACTATTTTCTATACTCGATTATAATGATTCTTAACCCTGTTAAAACTGACACATAAACACATAGTCAGAATATTTACATTTTTTGGAACTAAAATGTTTATTAATCGTTCCATCAAAATCTATTCATATACATGTTTTTGTAAATGTATTATGTATCATATATATACATCAGGCCTTTGAGTAACTTTTTTTTTTGCTCAAAACTATTTAGATTTTTTGTTGGTGCCAGTAGCCTAGTGGTACTGCATGCTGACATATAGCACCAACGTGCTCACGGCGACCCGAGTTCGATTTCCGGCTTAAGGTCCTTTGCTGATCCTTGCCCTCTCTCTGCTCCCAATGCTATCCTGTCTGAATTCTGTACTGTCCTGTCATAATAAAGGTGAAAACCCCCTAAAAAAATACATAAAAAACGATTTAAATTTTTGTTACAAAAAAAGCTTTCCCATAACATTTTGATAAAATAGAACATGTCATGCAGTTTATCTCTGTGTGTATTTTTAACACTAAACATTTCACACTGTTCATGCAAAGACAGACAGTATGCATGTGAGAAGTGAAAGTTGAACCCTCACACCCCTCAGTAAATGTGCAGTTGCATGATGTCCACGTAAACACAGTCACTGTCTTTCTCCTCTGTGTCTGTGTGTTGTTTTGTCTCTGTGAAAATCAGCATGTGCCCGAACAGAAACTCCCCCTTTCATGCAAAAACTTACAAACTTTTACAGTCCACCAAAGACTGTACCACGCTCAGCAGCTATTTGTAATTTTATTGCAATCAACGTTAGCCAAATCATGCTCATACTTGTGCCTTGGTACAGACGTGACCAAGATAATGGCTGTTTCTTAATTCCAAGAACGCAGATAATGAACTCGCGATCTTGTGGAGACCGGGTCTTGCCAGGTGTCCTCGGAGAAACCGCGAGGGCAGAGAACGTGTCCTCTGAGAAATGAGACACTAGGTGCGTTCGACATGAAGCTCAGCTGCAGCCGGTGATCAACGAGATTAGCCGAGCGCAGGCGGGGCGGAGTTGAAAACGGAGCCGTCAAGACGGACAGCTGGACACTTCGGGACTTTAAAGTTGCTGCAGTCATGATGACCGATCACATGGCGTCATCATATTTTTTTGTTATTTTTATTTATAACAACAAAACATTTACAAATAAAGTAGAATACAGTCTCTACAAACTATAGTTCATTTTTAAATAATAAGGGAGAATTATGAAGAACATATAACAAATACATGAGAGAAATAAGAGGAAATGAAAGGGTAATATAAACATAAAAACGAACAGGTCTATTAAATACAAAGCAATAAGCTTAAATTCTAGGAGTTAAACATCAATCTTTTGGCTAATACTTCTTGTTTGTAAAAAGCAAAACAAGTTGTTTTGATGAGGTCTTCAAGAGTTCACACTTAGCTGATGATTGATTATAAGCAAGTTTGGCATGCTGTCCCGGGAGAGAGCCCTGAGCTCGAAGGTTCTTGAGCCCTGGGCTCCCTCCCGTTTGGAGGTAGAGAGGGGAGCCTCGAGCTCAGGTAGATCTCGACAACTCCCCTTTTTATAATAGCTAAAGATTAAGATTGAAGGCTATTAAAAGATATGCTGCATTATTAGAGATTACCTGTATTGAAATATAGATTTAATGATTTACTTGTTGTGCATGTTTTTGGAATGTGGGAGGAAACCGGAGAACCCGGGGAAAACCCACGCAAGCACGGGAAGAACATGCAAACTACACACAGAAACGACCTCCGGCCTGTTAAGGAACTAGAACCGGTGACGTTCTTGCTGTGAGGCGACAGTGCTATTCACTGAGCCACCGTGCTGCCCTATGGAGGGAAAGGTGAAAAGGTAGGGGTGGAAGGGGGGATTCTTCAAATCGAAGATGACTGTAGTGAGAAAACCCTGGCTCTTTATAGTGGTTAGGAATGGCCTGATTGGTGGATCAAGCATGCTAATGCAGAACCAGCCGTGTTCAATCATAATCACGTGCTCCTCTCGAAATTAGTTTATGAATAAACTTCACTTAATAAATGACATTATTTTGGATAATGAAAGTATTTTCAAAAAAGCATTTTAATCCAAAAAGATTGTGTTGAAAAGAACAAAAGGTAAAATAAGTGAGCTATGTAGAAGTTTCCCAGAAAGAGCAGGTAGCCTTTAAACTGCTAGACAGGAAATAAAATATATATTTATATTATAATAATAAAGCCATTTTATAATTATTTAATAGAATAGTTCTTTAACTTAATTTGTTAAGAGAGCTTTAAGGTGGCAGGATCAATGATGATGATTATTTATTTCAAGTCTGTATTTGAGTTCATATTTAGCTTATTCACTAAAATATACACTAAAATAGATTATTTACATCGTTCATGGAGATGAATGCAGTAAATAGTCTGTATAAAAAGTTAAAAAATAAACCTGTGCAAACAAACTAACTTTTATAACCAGATTATTTAACAAAAGATGATCACTGCAGTAAAATATTGGTAGTCTTTTAATAAGCAAGATGTGTACAGGATAGAGAGGGTGTGAAAAGTGAATTGTTTGTTTTGAAACTTTTGAATCGGAATTTGTCCAATTATAAACCCGAAATACACGTGTTTGTTGTCATGTGGTGAACTCGGCCAATCGTGTAATATCGGTGTCGTCATCAGAGCTCCTGCAGTCGCTCTTCAGAAGCTGCATGGTCTGAGTTTGCCGTCTGATCTCGGAGCGCTGTCGCGGTAACTTGATGCCACATGTGACAGTCACGTGGCGTCGGCGCAGCATCAATCCGGACAAGATTTCTAACCAGCATGCACCACTTTAAGACAGATTTCGATCGATCTGCGCAGCGCTGCATGAAGTCGAACGCACCTACTGCGTTCTTCCTGATGGTCACATGACCTTCACATGTTTTTTTATGGAATATTATTTAAACATTACAGCATTTATACAGGGATTTACTGACTCGACATTTGTTAACACTTACTCCAACTGACTGGCGCGGCTCTCTGTTTACCCACACTCGTCAGCACAACTCTCAAAAATTGTAACTACACGTCAAGCAAGCTCTATGATTGGTCGGCTTGGTAGCGCTGACGAGTGTGGGCGGGACCAAGAGCCGCGCGAGCCCGATGGAGCGATTGTTTACAAATGTGGAGTCCCGTGAAGGAGCTTCAGATGGAAAGTTTTGTTTTATTTTTACCTCATGTTGTTGCACGTCCGTTGGTTCCTGCCTAAAATATGAGCGAGTTAAAACTTGTACATTAAGGAAGCGTTCAGAAAAAACAAAGAGAGAGAGAACTTTGTATTCTCTCTCTCTTTACAAGGAGAGAGAAGACACTCGACACAGGAACGTAAACACCTCACAGAACGCAGAAGCATAAACCAGACTTTACAGAGTATTTTACAGTATTTTAAAAATACAAGAAGTTTGCATGTTCTCCCCGTGTTGGCGTGGGTTTCCTCCGGTTTTCCCCCACAGTCCAAACACATGCGCTATGGGGAATTGATCAACTAAATTGGCCGTAGTGTATTAGTGTGTGTGTGTGTGTGAATGAGTGTGTGTGGGTGTTTCCCAGTACTGGGTTGCAGCTGGAAGGGCATCCGCTATGTAAAACATATGCTGGAATAGTTGGCGGTTCATTTCGCTGTGGCGACCCTTGATATATAAGACACTAAGCTGAATGAAAATTGATTGAATGAATAATATTAACGAATGAGTCTGTATTGTAAAGTGTGTGAGCATTACTCTGCTGGTTTTCTAGTAAGCTGAGGAACTATAAATATGACCCTGATCTGATAAATCCGTCACAGTCCTTTATTTCATTCTGCATCACAGTCTCCGCAATAAAACGTCTCCCCTGCACTCAAAAACCCCATCAAATCATCAGGTTTTACGACTCAATTAGAAATAAACACTTTAATTGGACTAATGTCACCTATAAACGCGCAACATTAGGCTGCTCGTTAAAAAATAACGAGCTGTAACAAATTATTTCCCGTTAGGATGATTCAAATCCTCAGGACGCTGGTCTGCCCACGCTAAAAATACTATAGTGATTTATAGCGAATATTGCCGTGTTTTTCATCCAATAAACACTGGGATGTATTAACAAACGCAACAGCTGGGTAATTTTTTTCAATTTAATTTAAGTAAACATTTTCCACCTAACTGTTGGGTTTGTCCAAACTTGACAGAACATTGACAACAACCCATCTTATGTTACCATAGCAACTATAGAATCACAACAACAGAGTAATTACTATAGTTGTTGTGTTGCCATAGCAACTATAGAATCACAACAACAGATTAATTACTGTAGTGGTTGTGTTACCATTCTAACTGTAGAATCACAACACCAGAAATATAACTATAGTTGTTGTGTTACCATAGCAACAGTAGAATCACCACAACAGATTAATTACTGTAGTGGTTGTGTTACCATAGCAACTATAGAATCACAACACCAGAAAAATAACTATAGTTGTTTTGTTACCATGGCAACAGTAGAATCACCACAACAGAGTAATTACTATAGTTATTGTGTTACCATAGCAACTAAAGAATCACCACAACAGATTAATTACTATAGTTGGTTTATCACCATAGCAACTATAGAATCACAACACCAGATTGATTACTGTAGTTGTTGTGTTACCATAGCAACAGTATAATTACCAAAGCAGATTGATTACTGTAGTTGTTGTGTTACCATAGCAACTATAGAATTACCACAATAGATTGCTTACTGTAGTTGTGTTACCATAGCAACTATAGAATCACCATAACACAAAAATTACTATAGGTGTTGTCTTACTATAGCAACTGTAGAATCACCACAACAAATTTATTACTGTAATTGTGGTGTTACCATGGCAACTACAGAATTACCACAGCAGATAAATTATTGTAGTAATAGTGTTAACATAGCAACTGTAGAATCACCACAGCAGATTTATTACTGTAGTTGTTTTGTTACCATACTAACTACAGAATTAGCACAACAAGTACTTTGTTAAGCATGGTTCGAAAACACTATAGAGCTGATTATAATTTACTTATGTTTAATAAGGATGGACTGTACAGAAGTGTTTAGAAAAGAGTGACCTCACCAGAATTAAACAGATCACCTTCCCTTCATCAGCATCAACCAGCGGGACAATCACAACTGAACGGAGGAGCAGAGGAGAGTCAACACAAGATTCATTCACATCATGGCAAAGATAAGATTCACTTTACATTCTCTTCCCACATTCATTCTACAATAACAGTCACACACACACACACACACACACACACACACACACACACACACACACACACACACACACACACACACACACACACACACACACACACACACACACACACACACACACACATCTGAATATGGACTAGTGTTTGCTGTAATAAGTTACAATCTAACTAATTACTGTAATTAAATGACATATTTTTTGTAAAATATAAATAGTAAAGTGTATAATAGTACTGTATATAATATAGTATTCACAACCTGTAGAATTGCTACAACAGATTAATTACTGTAGTTGTCAGGTTACCATAGCAACTGTAAATTACTACAACATTTATTACTATAGTGGTTGTGTTACCAAAGCAACTATACAATCGCAATAACAGATTAATTACCATAGCTGTTGTGTTACCATAGTAACTTTAGAATTGCCACAACAAATTAATTACTATAGTGGTTGTGTTACCATAGTAACTATAGAATCGCCATAACAGATTAAGTACTTTAGTTGTTGTGTTACCATTGCAACTGTAGAATCACCACAACAGATTTATTACTGTAATTGTTGTTACCATAGCAACTATAGAATTAACACAACATTTATCACTATAGTTGTTGTGTTACCATAGAAACTGTAGAATCACCGCAATAGATTTATTACTGTAATTGTTGTGTTACCATAGCAACTATAGAATTAACACAACATGTATCACTATAGTTGTTGTGTTACCATAAAAACTGTAGAATCACCACCACAGATTTATTACTGTAGTTGTTTTGTTACCATAGCAACTACATAATCACTGCAAAAAATAATTACTATAGTTGTTGTGTTACCATAGCAACTATAGACTTACTTTAACATATTTAATACTATAGCTTTGCATTACCATAGCAGCTACAGAATTACTATAACATATTACTATAGTTGTTGTGTTACCATAGCAACTACAGAATCACTACAATAGATTAATTACTATAGTTGTTGTGTTACCATAGCAACTACAGAATCACTACAATAGATTAATTACTATAGTTGTTGTGTTACCATAGCAAACAGCTTGAGAATTACCACGACATATATTATATTTAATAACTATATTCTTATTTAATGACTCATGAATGAGCTGTTGTGCTTCTGGGAGTTTCTATAATTTACCATCCATTCCTGGATCCCCTGTTGAATTGATCTCATGCTGTTCTGCAACCCTCTTCCTGTCATTCTCATTCAACTTCATGTTCAACTACCAGCATTTTGTGGCATATTCAATTCGGATTCACACTCATTAAAGAAAGCACGAGTTCTGCGGGTGTCAGGAAGCTCCCGCGGCTTCACCATCATTCATTTACAGCTCCGCTAATCGGCTCAACATCTGATTCAGAAACACAGCTCTGCAAACCAGCAGGACCAGCTAACAAGACTGTCTGCGCTTATCAATTACAAACCACCTATATTCCTGCAAGTGTGTTCTAATTACTTCTGTAACACACACACACACACACACACACACACACACACATACACACATAAATGCGCGCACACACACGCGCACACACACGCACATTCTTTATGTTTGCAGTCTGAGACTCTGAAGGCTACATTGTTACTTTGGTAAAAATAGTACAACATAGCGATAGTCGCCATGGGAACTAGAAAAGAGACGAGAGCGAGAGGTTGATGAAGAACGAGGAGAACATGATGAAAGTGGGCTAAAAGTTCAGCAGAGTAACTCAAACACTTTATACAACTCCTTTCTGTGCTAATCAAGACTGCTTCGCCTTCACACACACACACACACACACACACACACATTAAACTACATACACTCATATACACTTGGACACACACATACGTGCACGCACACGCACACACACACAAATCAAACTACATTCACTCTGACACACACATACACGCACACACAAACACTTCAAAACATTCACATGCGTACACACACACATTAAACTACATACACTCATATACACTCTGACACACACATACATACACACACACACACACACACACACACACACACTTCCAAACATTCACATGCGCGCACACACTCGCATACATTAAACTACAGACACAGACACACACACACACACACACACACACACACACACACACACACACACACACACACACACACACACACACATTAAACTACATACACTCAAATACACTCTGACACACAAACATACACACACACACACACACTTCCAAACATTCACATGCGCGCACACACATGTATACATTAAACTACATACACTCTGACACACACATAGACATGCACACACACATACACACACACACACACACACACACTTTAAAACATTCACATGCGCACACACATTAAACTACATACACTCAAATACACTCTGACACACACACACACACACACACACACACACACACACACACTTCCAAACATTCACATGCGCGCAGACACACGCATACATTAAACTACATACATTAACATACACTCTGACACACACATGCACACACACACATACATACACACACACACACACACTTTAAAACATTCACATGTGCACACACACATTAAACTACACACAAACACACACACACACACACACTTCAAAACATCCAC